AGGTTTTTATTTTTTTTTACAGTGAGCAGCCACTGGCTGCTCACTGTTTACTAGACATGCCCCTACTCACGGTATAGCGAGTAGGGGCTGAATTTACTAATACTAAGTAATTTTTACTTAGCATTAGTAAATGTGGTTGAAAGACCAATTTAGTTCTTTCAGCCTTTTGGTAGATGGCCATTAAATCGCCGAACACCGAACTCGAACCCGAACTGTTACTGGGTTCGGGGTCAAAAAATCGTAATGTTTGGTACAAACTCTCTAGTGATAATATATTTTTGCTGCTTGGGGTCGTAGTGAGCGACCGTGTGTATGATGAATGTATGATTGAAATAACCTGTTCGTTTGTCGAACGACCAGCTTGCTGACCAGCTTTTGAGGGTGCCAGAATGGTGAGTACGCATGCGTGGTGTGAGGTCCCGAACGGAACACGGGACTGAAAGGTAAGTATGAATAAAAGTTTGTGAATGAATCTGTTCATATGAACGACTGCCAGGCATCTTGCTGAATCTGGTGTGAATGGGACCCTTTCGGGAGATTCACGGTTCGTGACCCTGAAAGAGAACATGGAAGCAGGTATGAATTCGGTGAGGCACGAACACGGTAGCGAGGATGGCTGGGCTGGATGGGAGTTGGTGCCGCAATGAGTCTGGCAAGTCTGAGGTCTGGAGCATCTGAAGCCGAGCATGGCCACCGTGAGGAGAAGCCCCGACAGGGGTAAGGTACGGAGGTCTGCCGAAGTATGAGGCTGTGGGCGGGAGCAGGGAGATCTGACGGTTCTGATAAGGAGGGGGCCTGAGCTTATATAGCCGGGTAACCCCTCCCACATTTACAGGCTACGCCTTTTTATTTATCAGAATGCCATGAAGGTTTTCACAGAATTGTGAAAGAAGTGACAATAAAACAAGCAGTGTTAAAGTAAATTAAATGAATAGAAAATAACTATTCGTAAACCAGGAGCAAAAGCTTTGATTAAACAGTACAGAGCAAATAACTATAAAATATTTTGTCCAGGTCAAAATGAATAAATAAAATACAAAACTATATGTTCCAAAATATCCAAATGCCCTTATAACCGTTTAACTGATGTAGCAAATAGCCAGATGCGACTAAGGTGTTGGTCTATTCCACTGTCCTTTCTCGCCTTGACTACTGTAATCCGCTTCTCAGTGGTCTTACATGCTCCCAACTTGCGCTGTTACAGTCCATAATGAATGCGGCGGCGAGGCTCATCTTCCTGTCCGCCCGCACCTCCCATGCCTCACCCTTCTGTCAGTCCCTACATTGGCTTCCTATAAAATATAGAGCTCAATTTAAAATTCTGGTTCTTGCTTTCAAATCTCTACATAATGCTGCTCCCACCTATCTATCCTCCCTTATACAAAAGTATGTCCCGTCTAGGCCCTTACGATCTGTTGAAGACTTACGTCTATCTTCTGTCCGTACTCCCACCTCTGATGCTCGCCTTCAAGATTTTTCGAGGCCTGCACCATTCCTGTGGAACTCGCTTCCTTCCTCCATTAGATGCTCACCCAGTCTCCACTGCTTCAAAAAATCGTTAAAAACCCACTTCTTCGTAAAAGCGTATCAATTAAACTGTTAAGAGCTCCTGACTGATTCCTCTTCTGCAACTGTCACTAGTCTAATACTATCCTTACCTTTTTGTGTCATTTTACCCCACTCCCTCTAGCATGTAAGCTCATTGAGCAGGGCCCTCAACCCCTCTGTTCCTGTGTGTCCAACTTGTCTGGTTACAACTACATGTCTATTCGTCCACCCATTGTAAAGCGCTGCTGAATTTGACGGCGCTCTATAAATATCATAATAATAATAATAATAATAATAATAATGTGAATTTGTTGCAAAACAAAAACTGCAACAACAATCTCACATCACATACAAACAATGCAAATGCAAACAGTAGCAGGGAATTACATTGTATGCATTTGATGTGAGATTGTTGTTGCAGTTTTTGTTTTGCATCAAATTCACATCTATTTGCTGCATCAGTTACACTGAATAACATGGAATAGTTTTTTCTATTCATTTATGTTATTTCTGGTTGCTCTAGATATTGTACGGTATATCTTTAGTCTAGTTTAAGAGAACTACTTACTTAATCTATTCCATATCTATATTTGTTCCCTCTTTTTTTCCCCCCTTTTTCTGCAGTGTTAAAGTAATGTTTGAAACTAAAGAGTCTAAGTAAATGTAAAATCTTCGTATAGTAGAACCATACATTTATTGTTTGTATATTGGCTTCCTGTATTTGTTCAGATCTAAATTAATATACAGACACCATCCAACAATGCTGTAAACAACCCAAATTATATTTCTTCACTAATTCTCAAGTATCATTCCTTTCCACCATTGACCATTTCTTGTACCCAGTTCTCAACTGTATTTGCAGCACTTCTTGACTTCTTACAGGAGTACCCATTGAAAAAAAATTGTTTTTTTTTCACAATTTAGTAGGTATACCCCAATAAAAACATGCATGCATTTGCTTCTGCAATTTATGTTCGGGACATATCTGAAAAAAGCTGCAGATCTTCTGTCTGCAGCCTTTGCAAGTCCTCCCCTTTTTCCCTACTTTAGACTTTCAGTCTGTGACATTCAGTATTGATGTATCAGAGCTGTTTTGTCAGCAAAAGCGATACCTACAGTGGTTTTAATATTGTGGCTGATCAGTGTATGACCCATGTCCACAAGGCACATCAAGTAAAAATGTCCAGTAAGGCTGTCTTTGCAAAAGTCAGAAATGTTATGCTTAAGAGACCAATGTTTATGAGTTACTTGGTAGACCACAATGTAATCATATATAATATGCAATAATACAACTTAACATTTTTCACTCATGGAACTAAGGTGAAATGTCACCTTTATTGCAGATAATATAGCTCCCTTGAACATAATCCCTACAGGGACAAATTGTTCCATCACTGCCCATATTACATGGAACTAATAGAAACCTCCATTACCAGATTTTTATTCTGCTTCTACCAGTAACCTTCATCTACCACTTGATCTATTTCAAATATGAATGTTGCAATAATTGCTATAAAGTAGAGTCAACACACTTAAAAAAATTCCAACCATAAAACGTAATTTCTGTAATGAAAGTCTGATAGCTAGATGCTGGAAAATCAGCCTTGAAATGTCATTGGCATTATTTTGTTGATCTGAATTTTCATATTTATCAAGGCTGGGTATTACTGTCCTTGAAATTTGATGGTGGAATAGATATTAGAAATATTTACTTGGACAGCAATGTAACATCAACTAGGTAACCCAATACCAAATACTGAAAATCTTTGTGGTCTTAAAATAAGCAGACAAGTGTCCCTTTAACTCTTTCCGACCAAGGGATTTGCAAAACAAAATACATCTAGAATCCAAGTAATATGGGTGTACTGGGAAGTACTGTTTAAATGTATTTTGTTTGCGTCAGTCTACATAGATAGCACCTTATTAAATGGAAACAAAAACAAACATTTTGGTTGGACAGAAAAATTACAAACATTTTTTAAATCAAAGAATCAAGTTATCGACAAGAAAACGGTGTAGTAAACCAATATATAAGTACTGTATAACTATAAAGATAGGCTGTCACATCACAATGACATTGCCGATTTCACCTTCATTGCAGCTATTGGTGCTTATTCGGACACACACATTCTAATACATGCACACACTATACACTGATACATGCATGTATTTAAACAATAAACACTCTGATGCAATGGGGACACATATCCAAATACATTTATTGACAACTGTCAGAAAGAACCACATGGATCGTCACTGCCACACACAGACTTACATTCTCAGACATACACAGATACACAATGTCATGTTTCTGGCACCCTTTGACCTTTGGCTTTCCCACGATGATTCTCCTGCTTTATCTGTTCCTGTACTGCGTCTTGGAGAATTATCCTGCACAGCCCCCGTTTACCGACTCACAGGCCAGGTGAATTCTTACCTGACCACCTTGACCTGTGTTTACTTGCAAGGGTGAGCACACATCTCTGCTTGCCGGACTCCCAACTCAGGTAAGCCGTGACAGTATCAGATGGTATCAAATGTTCTCAGTGATCAGTTCAGAGGCTTTGCTAGGATGTATTTAAACTAGGAGAGGGTGAGAGGTAAACATCAATCCAATTGCTAAAACATCAATCCAATTCCCAAAACAAGGACCAAAAGTAAGTGTGTAGTAAGTGTGTTAAAAAATTATAAGCTTAGTGGCGTGGCTTGACCGCCGAGAGTAATGGCTGCCTAAGCTCAGAGCTCTGCACACCGGATGCTCCAAAATGCTCTGCAATCTGCTAATTATCCCGGCGAAAACACCCCAGTGCCTCACATCCGAAGGGTGAAAACACCACTATGGCAACACACAGAAAAATCGGTAAGAAACCCAGAGAAGGGACTCCGTCCATCGCGGACATGCTGGCAACGCAAAGGCCTCACACATCCAAAGATGGCGGTGGTCCTGACCGACCGTACTCCCGAGCATGAATACTCATCACACCAAGAGACACAAGGGGTGATCCTACATTTACTTGCTGAAGTGAAAAACTTCATGGTGGCAGAGATCAAACGCTCCACAAAGGAAGTTAAAGCAGAGATGCAGGCATTAGGCCAGTGCACAGAGGAGTAAAAAACAATAAAAAAGGCTGCGCCACAATAAATAATAAAAAAGAGTGCACAGAGGCCCTGGAATGGCGGATGGACCATATGGTCGTGGCCCTCAACGAAGCAGCCACAGTAACAAACAGCCTAATCACAAGGGTGGCAGACCTGGAAGCTGAGCTGGAAGACATCTCAAATAGATCACTGCAGAATAACCTAAGGATTAAAGGCCTACCAGAACGAGTGAGGGACGCAGACATTCAAGAGGTGCTCGCCACAATATTCAGAGCACACCTACCTAACATCCCAGAACACCTCTGCACTATAGACAGTGCCCATAGAGCATTAAGGGCTAGGGCCCCCCCTGCATGGATGTGATCATGAGGTGGCACTTCTTCTCCACCAAAGAGGCCATCATCAAAAGCAGCAGGAACTACACCTATACCTATGAAGGCAGCACACTGCACCTGTACCAAGACATGGCACCGGCCACACTGGCAAGAAGAAGGGAATGGAAGCTGATTGCAGACCTGGTGAGGACCAAAGGCTACAGCTTCGCATGGGAATATCCATTTAAAATGCTGGTGTTCAACAACCCACGGGCAGCGGTACTCCTGCCATCCACAGACCAAACCCTGACCGACCTCCATCAGCCCCCTGACTCACACGATAAGGCGAGACGTAGATAAGCACAGGGCTAACAAACTCCGCGAAGGAGTAAGGCAAAGGCCAAGGGCCACTGACTACATTAGCCAAACCCGCAGCACAAACCACCAAAACTGTACATCTAGAAGGGAGGTGGGGGAGACAACCGGGAAGGCGACAGCAGGACCTGACGGGGTAAACAATATGAAGACAAAAGTGCTGACAACCTATACGTCACCAACAAAACCACACACTACAAGGTTATTACCGGCAAACTCTGACAGCACACGGACCAGTATGGGGCAAAGAGAGAAGGGGGGGGGGGAGCAGAAAACTAGTTACAGGCGCCCAAATGGCGGGGTGGCAAGGCCCAGAGGGAGACCATAATGCCTCTTTAAATAATTGTGATCGACTTTTATTGTCAAATGTTAATGTTCTTGATAACTGTACATTCTTTTTCATATGAAAAGTTACTAAACCAGAGAGACTGAAAGGGATAATTGTGAACAAATACACCACCCGGAACATTGACGGGGTGCTCGGCAGTTGGATATCCTCTTTGCGAGTGGTGATTCTCACTGTGGAGCAGATCTTCACCCCCCGATCGGCCTGGCGACACATAAGGCCGGGTTTTCTTAAATACAGAACCTACTCGGCAAGAGAACCCCTCTCTGCCGAACCTATATCATACCCTAATTACAACCCACCGCCCCCTACCCCACATCCCTACTCAGCGCCCCCTAGATAACACTAGATTCACGCCCTGTTTAGGACAAATTAGGCAAGAAAGGGCCCCCCACACGGGATCGGCTACGGAGACTATCATAGAAACATAGAAACATAGAATGTGACGGCAGATAAGAACCATTCGGCCCATCTATCCCTAACACCACCCTAACAGCGTGACCCTGCTAACCTCGGGGGGGACATGCGGCGGGCTGGGCCAAGCATAGACAAAAGACACTGACATCACATAGACACACGGACTAACCCGACCTGTGACCGGATGAATGGCCACGCTTAAGATCACCTCCCTGAATGTCAACGGCCTTAACGTTCAAAATAAACAACGCCTCCTACTAAGGGAATTAAAAAGACAAAAAGCAGATATAGCTGTGGCCCGTGTTCAACTGATCAACCACATATATACCAGGTCATATGCCTCAAGAGCCCTGGTTAAGAAAAATGGGGTCGAAATACTAGTGCACAAGCGCTGCCCGTTCCATAACCTTAATACCCA